ATAATCCCAGATGAGACATACCATCAGAAAGCCGTCGTGACCTCCACTGAAGATGTAATCATCCAGTACGGGATGCGAATGCAACACATAGGCATCTTCTTTGTGTCCCTCTAACTGGCGCAGTTCCTCTCCGGAGGCTGTTGACCATACACGCAGAATGAAGTCCGATCCGGCAGTGACAATAAAATCATCTTTCAAAGACCAGCACAGCATTGTCACTTTGTATGAATTTCGCGAACTGGCCGTCTTTTCATCCCTAAACACTCAAAGAATTGCGGGCAATGTATGCGAATATAGACAAATTCATATTTTGATTCTTTTTATTAAACAATAATGAGCTAAATTTTTCAAATGCCTAAAAAATCATTTTCCTTATCACTCATGGCAAACTGAACTGTAACAAGCTTTGAAGGCGGAATATGCCAAAAAACTAAATGTACGTCTCGCCTGTGGCCACAATGCCCATCAGATTTTGTGTTTATTAAATCATTCTTTTTTTGAAGCGACAATGTTCATATGAAGGTCATTTGGATATATTGTCACATTTCGAACTCTCGTATGGATATTGTCACAAAAAAGACGCAAAACAAAAAAAAAAAAAAAAAAAACTGATTTAAGAAACGTACAATCTGATGGGCATCGATGGGCAGTATCAAGTAGAGCTGCCCTCATGCCTAAACTCCGAGATTAGCTCCGCTAGTGGACAACCAATTCCTCTGCGATGATTCCTTCATTTCGAGAAGATACAGGCACTGGTATGTGCCGGGAAGTCAGTTCGTTCATCAATTCGTTAGTAGGTAATCCTCGAAAGAAGGATTCCTCCAGGGCTCCATCAGCAGCTATTTTCTGTTAACATTTGCTAACATTTGGGCTAAGTCATCCATCTTTCATAAAAAAGCGAATACGGAGATTCATAAAAAGCAAATACGGAGAGGATTTCGACTTTAACAATTATCCAAAACAGAACATATTACACTAACAAAATTTAGCTCATGAAAATTAATTTTGCACTATTTTTTGCTTGCTGAAAACATGAAAAACCAGAAGGAAAAAAGGCGTACTTCACTTTTGGATGCAAAACAATCGGCATCCAACTGTTGCACTCAAATTTCCATACTTTTGCAGTGCCATCACGACTACCGCTTGCAAAGCGTAACCCCATATGCGCCCATTCCAGGCTATCAACGCGATCCTGCAAGCAACGAATACAGATATTTGTCTATTTCCAGAGAAGCTAATATCGAAGATTCCAAACGATCTTAGAAAGAAACTGAATTTGTCTTACCGTGTGTGCATCGATATCGATTAATTTCTCAATTCCGTCTCGTTTAATTCGATAAATTCTCAGTTTGTTATGGGTGTCACCAAAAACAACCAAACTGCCTCCGGGACTGTGGCATGTGCTGACAATGCGAGGGCCTGCTGTTGTGCGTTCAAAAAACTGTATTGGTGCAGATCTGTAAAAAAACGATTTAACAGCTAAATAAAAGCAAATAAAGGATAGCTAGCTAATTTCCAGTTATGCATTTTGACAGAACGCGTGCATAACCCCGTGGGGTGGAACGTTCGATCTCAGCTTATGCTAATCTTTCTCAACTCACTTCAGTTTATCCATCATACTCGACTACCTACCAAGAACATCGAAAGTATCCCTGGGGAATGGATCCACTTGCTGGATGCAGCTATACCAGAATTTTTAATCCTAAGGCTGCAAGTCATCAACTACGTGTGTGCGTTACTTCTTCGAAGGCTGCTCTAGTGATCGCAGGTACCACTTTCGAATGCACAACGCCCATCAGCCAGCAACATGCCCTCCCCACAGGACTTCTGTTATAGTAGTGTCTTATACGTCGTTCATCTGACGAACAGTCTAATTGTTTATACGTTCTATGCTTCATAACTTTCTCCATGACAGCCAGTACTTGCTCTTCAACTTTCGTCAGTGATCATATTTGCACGTTCCTGTCTTAAGTACAGTAGTATTGCGGTCGTCACGACCCTTCCAGTTTCACATTTTGAGGACACCGACTGTGCAATGAAATTTACATCAGCTAGCAGTCTGTTTACATGTAATGCTCGGCTGGCGAGGGGTGCACAGTCACCTTCTGACCAAGACAGACGTAGCTGTCAACTTACATTATATAAATTTAAACATTTATTCATTTATGTATTTCCCCACTACTCTATAAAAATCGACGCTGCTTATCCCTTTGCTGTTGTCCCACCATCACTAGGTGCTTCCTGAGGGAAAAATGTGCAAGCTT